TTAATGTGCGTTCACACTGCGGGTTTAATCTGAATTGAATTCAGAATAAAGTCTTGTTCCGCATTTGGGCGTCACACAAAATTCGCTAAAATCCGAACTGAATCTGTAATTACGAGTCCGTATATTTTTCCGAATTCATTTTGGAACAAGTTTTCTGAATCGGGTCATTCGCAGTCAAAATTTGATTGTGGCGCGCTTGATTCCAATCAATGGGTTTACCGGAATCGAATAACTTTGCGCGCGTGTTCGCTTCTACTTCCGTTTTATCGCTTGTGTGTTTTCCGGGCCAATATACTGCAAATAAATAAACATTAATATTGCGAACACAAATCAGTTGGGGTATAGACCACATAGCCGTAGCCCTACCTCACCGAAACATATACTGCGGTAACATACCAGTTAAAAATCCAAATACAAAGATATGTTGCATTCAGATCACAGCTGATCATGACATTTAAGGCCTAGACCTTACTAGACGTCTTGAGTCTAGTAGAGTCTAATCTCTAGCATGTATTGTATGTAGTTGGGTGGAAATGACAACAAAATTTATTGCTGTGCATTATGCATGTTTAGTGCTGAAAAAAAATTTAATTATGAAATTTATCTTCGTTAGTACAGAGTTGAGAGTGACATGCACGTACATACTTGTTGATGCATAGCAAACGCGACCAGAAGAGTAATCATCCTCATTCGCCTTTGACTCTGGTGCATACGAAATTTACCCAATTTTTCGTAATAGGTCATGAGATTTAAACAGAGCTAGCGATACTCCCAACCCTAACCCTAACCCTGGAACTAGCCCCAATGCTTACCCTAATCCTTACCTACAATCTCGCCAACAATCACATGGCCCAATCTTATTTACATCTCAGCGACCTTGATAAAAATAAACATTAGCAACAAGATCACGAATACAAATGACGGGCGCATCCATCTTGGGTATGCATGACCTTCACTTCTGCTGGTTATGCGCATTCATTTCATTTCATTACCATTATAAATCCAACAGTTTAACCAAGGAAGGATCCTTCATTTATTTCTGGTTCTGGCGTTGGTTTACTAATCTCGGTTGTGCCCAAAGTCCTGGCAAGGAAAGGAAAAACGTCTAAGATCTCTGTGTTGGCAAGAAAAAAAATCGTCTAGTCTTTCGAATGGTACGGAATACCGAGGTCCCCCACGTGTACACATTGGCGTACATTTACAGCTGACAAATTCCCTCATATAGCACACTTCATGGTGTATGGCCGTCTTCATTAACCAAGGAGAAAAGTGGGGCGTTAAACTTCATTTCACCTGATTTCACTTCTGACTTGTCATATCTACGATTGTTATTAGTGTGATTGTGACGACTATGACACACAATAAGCCCTACGGCTGAATCTAAATTGGTATTGACAAAAACACGGTTAAGTGTATCAACTAATCCAAAACAGGCTTGGGTTATCAGCGTTTTGAGCGTTAAGTAATTCTGAAGCATTTGACATCGAGGCGAATTATTACGCGATCGAGGCTATAATCCGAGTAAATCTGGAATTCAGACTATGATCATTTTATTTCCGTTTTATTCCAATAGCAAAGTTTGTGTATGTGGTTAGACTACACAATGGGAAATACCAACACCCGAATGCTCAAATTTTAGAATATCAAAAACAGAAACCCCGATTAGAATACGTTATTAATTCAAGACGCTCATATTTTCTCCTGAGTCTCTCACATAAATGGTGGTAAAAAAAATTAATAAAAATATGAGAAAACGCTATTGAACCCAGAAAGTGTTTACGTTAATGTCAATAAATCAAAGGCTTGATTAAATAGTGTACTATATTTTTAAAAAAAAATTTAATTAAAAAGAATTAAAGCAGACGAGGTTCTGGGCGTAAACTTGGCGTCATCGGGCACATTGAGTACAGGTGTCTTTATTCACCTTAACTATAAAAAAACCCACTCACGTCATCAAATTCAACGGTTAAACACCTCTGATGACGTGACGATAAAAAAAAAAAAAATTCACCGATGAATAAGAAACCTGGTTGTTGTTCGTTAAACACGTGCGTCAAAATTACGGGATGGAAGGTGTATGTCGTAACGGAACACCTTCAAATCTGGATAGGCTGAAAGGCAATCATGGTAGCCAAGTTGTCCGCAGTCATAAAAAGCTATCTTCATGAAGTTACATGCCCAGAGAGATGTTGCAACCAATAGGAATATTTCTTTTCGGAATTAAGAAGTTTAAATATTTATGAATTAATTAATATTTAATTATTTAAACAATGCGAAATCTTGTCCTTTATTTTTGGATTAGGAACTGGACCCCAAGCTCTTTGAAAAAAACTCAAGGCTCTGTCAATTCAAATACGACATGGACAATTGCGCATCGATTTTCGATATGACGTCAAAATTCCCAAAAGGCGACAATGGCGTCAGACTCGGTTCAAGGCTATTTAGTACTATTGTTCTTGTTGATTCAGACGAGTTCTACATTGATGCAAGTTTATAATCTTTACTGAAGCAAGGGATATAACTCCGTAAAATGACGGAAAATAAAATATTCAATTTTAAATATTGTACATATTTTTATACGCCCACATTTCATGTGGACGTATATTGTCGTCGCCCCTGTCCGTCCACAATTTGTTTGTGGACTCTCTACAGGTCACAATTCTTGTCCGATTTTGACGAAACTTGAAATATAGGTTTATCCTCAAAAGATCTCGGCGCCGTGCTTTCGATATTGGCATGTATCGGATCGAAACTTCTTGGATTATGGCCGCTGTTTGTACCAAAAATCACGTTTTTAGCTTGTGGACCCTATAGAGGTCACAATTTTTTATCCGATTTTGTTGAAACTTAAAATGTAAGTTTATGACCCAATGATCTCGGTTCCTTACGATATTCGTGCATATCGGACCGTAACTTCCTGAATTATGGCCCCTGGTTGTACGAAAAATCGCGTTTTTAGCTTGTGGACCCTATAAAGGTCATAATTTTTATCCGATTTAAAAAAAAAAAACCCGTATTATTATATCACCGTTACACCCTAAAGAAGGTTAAGTTCGAATTTCGTGAAAATCGGACCAAAATTGACGGACAAAATGGTCGCCGTTTGTACACGAATAGTGTAAAAATATGGTAAATCAAAGTTGTGGACCCTGTATAGGTCACAATTTTAATTCGATTTTGATGAAACTTGAAATGCATGTTTATAACCCACAGATCATGGTTCCTTTCGATATTTGCGCATATCGGATTGTAACTTCTTGAATTATGGCCCTTGATTGTACGCAAAATCGCCTATGTTAGCTTGTGGTCTCTCTGGAGGTCACAATTATTATCCTATTTAAAAAAACCGTTTGATTATATCACCGTTACACCGTAATGAAGGTTGAGTTCGAATTTCGTGAAAATCGGACCAAAATTGCCGGACAAAATGGCCGCCGCTTGTACGCGAATAGTGTAAAAATGGTATATCAAGGTTGTGGACCCTATAGAGGTCAAAATTTTTATCCGATTTTGTGGAAACTTGAAATGTAAGTTTATAACCCAAAGATCTCAGTTCCTTTTGATATTCGTGCATATCGGACCGTAACTTCCTGAATTATGGCCCTGATTGTACGAAAAATCGCGTTTTTAGCTTCTGGACCCTATAGAGGTCATAATTTTTATCCGATTTAAAAAATCATTTTATTGCATCACCGTTACACCCTAAGGAAGGTTGAGTTCGAATTTCGTGAAAATCGGACCAAAATTGCCGGATAAAATGGCCGCCGTTTGTACTCAAATAGTGTAAAAATATGGTAAATCAAGGTTGTGGACCCTGTAGAGGTCACAAATTTTATCCGATTTTGTAGAAACTTGAAATGTAAGTTTATAACCCAAAGATCTCAGTTCCTTTCGATATTCGTGCATATGGGATCGTAACTTCCTGAATTATAGCCCCTGATTATACGAAAAATCGCCTTTTTTAGCTTGTGGTCCCTCTGAAGGTCACAGTCATTATCTGATTTTAAAAAACTGTTTGAATATATCACCGTAACACCATAATAAAGGTTGAGTTCAAATTTCCTGAAAATCAAACCAAAACTGCCGGACAAAATGGCCGCCGCTTGTACGCGAAAGGTGTAAAAATATGGTATATCAAGGTTGTGGACCCTGTAGAGGTCAAAATTTTTATCCGATTTTGTGGAAACTTGAAATGTAAGTTTATAACCCAAAGATCTCAGTTCCTTTCGATATTTGCGCATGTCCGATTGTAATTTCATGAATTATGGCCCTTGATTGTAGGAAAAATCACTTTCTTTTAGCTTGTTCTCTACCCATCTCTCAAAAATGTGGGCGTATCCTGCCTGGCAGCCGCTGGTTGGTTTAAACATACATTATGCAAGAGCTAAATCTGCCCATTGCAGGTCTTTCTTTAGGTCTGAAATGCTATCTAAATTATTAATTAGACATTAATTAACTTATCCAGACCATAATCTACCTTCGATGGCATCGCTAGCCTGCGATATTTACTGGATTAGAATCCGGTCTGCTGCTTCTGATTAAATAAAAAAAAATGGATAATCAAGACTATGTTTTCTATCGTACCGACTTTAGTAATGATGATCGAGGCTAGGTGGATCAATTTGACTGAAATTTTTAGCAAATTCCCTTTACATTATCTAGTTTTTAACTATTATAGTGAGAACTACCAGCTTTGTATCTAATCTCCCATAATGTATCTTTAACAATACGCCCATGGACGTTTCGTCATATAGGCTCCAAAATTTAAACAATAATCATCCATAACGTATATCTAAAGATTATTATGTCCGCCAAACTTGTATCCCCATAACCCTAAACTTAGCGAAATGAAATGAATTGGGATTTAACATTCTAAAGCTCTATTCCTACAATTCAGTGCATGTGTTGTGTGTGTGTAGCCGTCCTCGACACTCCTTTTGTACTTTTGTGCACTTCAAAATAATATGAATATAAGGTAGTTGTGTTATCGTGTTTGCTGATGTATAGTAATTATATTTATGCCATTTTGACGTCATTAATGGGCTATATAACACAATTGAATATTGAATTTTGATCGCATTGTACGTGCAGAAAATATACGATATATTTTCAAATACAGCTAACATTGACATGGAGATCTTAAGGATAACTCTTTTGCTGATTATACCCGGTACTGTTTTTGCAGGCGCTGGTAAGTACTGTACTGTACATCTGATGGGCGTATGTCTAAATTTATAGGCGAAAATTTATCAGAGTTTGCAAACCATACCAGTATCTAACAAAAAGGTTGTAATCGACACCCATCTGGTCAACATGTCATGTCCGCTAAGATTGTTTAAACACATGTTTATTTAAAATACAATTTGTTATAATTATATAACGAACAAGGATTATGAAGAATCTATTTTAGCTTACCACCAGGCCATTTATAAGCTGTAGTCGAAATGAGACGTAGGTGAAATGGGAGAGTACCAAATATAAGCCACTTAGTTTATTGTAGATGTACTTGTATTACCGTTTAGGTTATTTTACCATAACCGCCCATGGCTGGTGCCTGTGGTACTCTGAATTTCCTGCGGTGCATAACCTGTTCTTTTAAGAAAAGTTAAAGTTATGGAGCCATCTTCTCATCCCGTCGTAAAACTGATGAGCAGTATTTCCCAATATTGCGGCGATTCGCAAATTAACATAGAAGAACATTCAATGTTTTTAGTGCGATATTATTCACAAATATAGCAAAGAGTGTAGGGACTGTTGTGTCGCCTTGCCGGACACCGGAATCAATGAACATACGAATGTACAGTCTTAACGATGTAATGGTGTCTTACCTTCTTTAGTAATTGGTACCAGAATGCACAGAATCGAATTCCTTAGATTATTAAGGTGCATATCTTTGTTAACTAGAAATAACTATGATGTTCTACGGGGTAAAATAAATAAATAAATAATATAGGATGCCAGGACAGTACAATGCAATGTGGTTTAACAATCTACTTTTCTGTACTAACCCGGTTAGTGAAGACATATAGTTACGACATGCAGTATTATATGGGGGGAATTTCAACCGGAAAATGACGTTACCTGCTACTTTTGATCGAACGACAAGTCGTCCTTGCTTGTCCAACACCCCACCAACTTAAAACCGACATTGTCATAAATATATATCATTATTACGATTCAAACATCAGAAATTGAGCTAAATTTTCTTATTTCGAAATAGCTATTCCAATTATGTAGTTAAGTAGTGGTGTTTACATTTCACTTGACGGAAATATTTATATCCGCTTGCCAATAGCTTTCAACAATGTTCACCGTTAATAATGACAAACGCGGAAAAGAATGTACAGTTTTCAACTGCAGTTGAATCTTCTGTATTAAGCAGCCACTTAAGGGAATTGTCATGACTGACCGCTTAACGGGAGTGACCTCTTAATAAAATCTCAGTGTTAGTGCCGACATCAAGTAAAGTTTACGCCTGGATGTATTGGGAGCAAACATCAATACTTGCATCGGTAAATTTGGCAGTCGCTAAAACCTGCTTGGAACGAAAATTCTTTGACTCAAATCTCTGATATAACTTCTGTAACTGTGTCATTTGTACAATATTGATACTACTGTCTACCATTGTTACGTATTCAAGAATATTTATCCATTTTTGTGAAGAAATCCATGAATTAAATGTATTTTATCAAAAAAGCACATGTCCAAAAAACCATCGCTGAATTTGTAGGGAATGCTCACTAGTCCGCGGGTGCACTAGTCCGTTTATAATTATTATTGCCATTTGTACGATGGATGATCACATGTAAACTCGTGACAATAATACTAACGCATCCACGCTGACTATGAAATGTAAAGCACCAATCCCGACCGACAATGAAATGTAATACATTAGCCCCGACAATACAATGTAATGCACCAACCCTGACAGTGGTATGTACGCAACACACCCATACTTACAATGGTATGTAACCATTTTTCCAAGAATTGATTCAATTCAATATAAGGGTAGGCCGGTAGCGCCGCTATCCGGACAAAGGTTCTCTCATAGTACACTGCATAGCGCATGCCCGTCTTGATTAGCCCACTCGGAGCAAAACAGTAGGACGTTAAAACCCCATTTCAGAGTGCTAGGGACAGTGGCATTTCTCCATCGAGTTCCAACTGTGAATGGTTCCTTTATGTACACGGCAATGTGTACACAGGGGCTTATGTTTTTGTGCCAAGAAATAGCCGATTTGAAAGGGCCATTTGTGAGTGACGTCCATTTTACATAGCGAGGGTGGTCTAATCCATTCAATATTTCAGCTATCCGGTGATCTAGAGAGTTGATTATGGTCTTTCCATATGAAATGTCTAAATAATTATTTGTATAACATATTTTTACACCCACAGTGAAATGTTGTCGTATATTGTCGTCGCCCCCGTATGTTCGTCAGTCCTTACTTCGGTACGCCCGTCGGCTTGTCGGTCCGGTGTACACAATTGTGGGCGCACTAGAGGCTAAAGTCAATACCCGATTGACTTTAAATTTATATACAGTGTTTAAAGGGACTATCCCGATTTGAACAGAGTCTCAAAAATAAAAGTCCGAGTATGTATGAAATTTAAGCACCAAAATATAGAGAAATGGTGTATTTACCTTGTCTCAGAATTTAAGCTCAAAATATTGAGTCGTTTGGATGTTAAAGTCAAAAATGCTTATCCGGACACGTAACCCTTTTAAGATTTCGGGTAAATTTTTTCGTTGGGCGACCTGATAATCGATTTCCATTTCTTTAGAGGTCTATACGGTGAATGACCCCTGTGCTGTACTTCATAACGAAGGGTAAATTTCACCTACACATTATTTTTATAAAATAAAAGTCTGGCTTTATCCAGACACCGTATATAATACAGTTTGGACACTGATCTCCATTTCCAGATGAAGACTGGCGGGTTTAAGTTCATTTTCACTGCCAGAGTTATGGCCGATCACTTTGAAAAAAATCTTGTGGACGCTGTAGTGGCTAAAGTTAATATCCGATTGACTTTAAATTTATACACAGTGTTTAAGGTCATGAGACAAAAAAGCCTATTGATTTTCAATAATTTCCGATTATTGCTGAAGGAGTTATGGACCCTGATCACTTTGAAAAATCTTGTGGTTGCTTTAGAGACCATAGTTATCATCTGATTTTATATTTATACACCGTGTTTACGCCTATATATAATCGTTTTAATTGAATTTAGGTATATTGATTTTTAATGATTTTTGATAACTTGAACTGCTAAATCCATGATATTAAATGTTTTGTATACTAAATGTATACAAATTCTAATGATTTTCTGATAATTAATCAGATTTTAGTGTATTATAAATGTTTCATTGCCGACAAAAGTAAAAATATGCGACAACTCTTGTTGACTGTACGGACGATTTAGCTGCTGTGGACGTATGTTTCTATGCCTGGCAACCTATCTTTCACTTTTGCATAATCCTTCTTTGATTGATTCCGAAAGAAATACCTATGTTCATAATAGCTAAACAATAATCAAAATGAAACATAAAAGTAGACAATATAGAGAAGGCTTGCTCTACCATTGATAGCTCAAAATGTCACTGGACTGGCATATCGACAGTTTATTCTTCAATATTGTGAATGACTTTCAGTAGGTCAATTTGTTTCAAATTACACGAATGTTTAAATGACACACCAATTCAGCTCATGCGAACTTTATTTTTTTGCCGTCTTTTTCGTATTACTTCGCTTGAACCTGGACACGAATCATTCACAAGAAAATGCCAAAGAGAACATAAAAGAAATGCCGGATAATCATAACACTCTTCAATTTCAATCTTTAACTTCTCATAGCCGCCTTGGTTCCACGAGGTTGTCACTTTTTGAACTTTTATCAACGACATTTTTGTTGATTTTGAATTAAAACGATTTAGCTAGACCTTTAACTTTTGACATATCACTATTTACCCTAACAAATCTGTGAAAACCATTTAACTCTTTAAACACTATTTAACACCCATAGTAAAACCTGCCGTCATACCGAAATGAAATGGGGTTTAACGTGCTACTTTTCCAATCATGACAGACATGATATTTTGCAAGTTGGCAGCTCCCGTCAAAAGGCAAAACCTAGTAACTCACTTTTTTCTCATTTTGAGAAAACAAAGGAAAACGTAATGAATGAATATTAAACCCCAGTTCATCCATTGATTTGACTATTGAGTTACTAGGTTTTACTGTGGTATACTAGGCAAATGAAGGAAGTTGCTAGGTTGTGTCATGGGTGTAACTGCTTACAAAATCAAAAGATTGGAATATCTAGTACAACAACAGAAAGCACATACCCTAGTAACTACAAATTTGGTCCTAACTCAATTTTGATAAAAAAAAAAGTTAGTTACTAGGTTTTGCCTTTTGACGGGAGAGTTATCTTCCGCTGAATATATTAATTGGGTTAAAGACTAGTCTTACTTATAGTTTATAAGATGTCGACCCAGCACATGACTGTAGGCTAATTAGATGTTCAGATTCATGTGAAGGTTTATTTCAACCAATAATGTAATCAATCTGGAGTGAGTCAATGAAAATCGAGGTCCTGTGTTCACGTTGACGTGGACGTAAAAGAACCAGTGACTGCGGGAATTGGATGAAGTGAAGGCGGAATCGCGGCTCTCCTATCAAAATTCCCACACTGTACACTACATGGCATATGCCCGGTTTATGCAGAAAAGTAGGACGTTAAACCCCATTTTATTTTATTTTCATGTATACTTAATATTAAATTAAAATACAAAATTGATTACCGTTAAATCTTACCCGTAATCAAGAATATATTATCCGTAATCAATAAAATGTTACACATAATCAAGAAAATGTTATCAGTAATCAACAAAATGTTAACATATAGTTAGCAAAATGCACCAAAAAAAGTATTACAGACGGGAATGTAAACGAGGGGTAAAATATTTATTGTTAGGGCACAAACCACTGTGCCGTCTATAAATAACACATACATTACTTGACAGACAAATTTGAAATGTTTCACAAAAATATAAAGGTTTTGACCTTCTCTTATGTAACGAATGGTTTAGTTCAACCTTTAATTATTTTTCTTAAACAAGACGAAACAAACAGTTTAAATGCATGACGTAAACATTTAAGCATCCAGTCATTCAACGAACAAAAGGTT